ATGGCGGCGCGAGAGACGCCCGCCGCGGCTCGCTTCGCTCGCCACATCGCGGGCGTCCCATGCGCCGCCCATGCCCAAGTCATGATTTCGCGAACCCTGGTCAACTGAGCCTGGCGTCCGTCGAGTGACCATCATTGAGATTCATGTAAGGACCCTGATTGACAAGCTACAGAATCGTGTATCAAGAAGGATTGTGTATTATTGTGCCATACTCTCCCAGCCAGTCGTAGACGTATCTCGGTGCCGTATACGCCGTGCTCAAGCTTGGTCACTATTGACCGGAATTATGGGCGTGATATGGTGATGGTGCCGAGTCTGTACATACGTATGAGCCCCAGACTAGCAATACACGGCCACAATGGCCGCATGGCCGACACCAGCCTAAGTAGAGCATAACGGACAGACGGAAACTGAGAGTGCGTTCTCGCTCGGGCCGATCGAGCCGACCACACCCCGAGCACGGGATAGCATGCACAAAAAAACGCGTCGCCTCGGCGAAGTCGGGCGGCCGCGTCGTGCCATTCACGTGCTTTCGGGGATGTGACGATTCTTCGAACTCGGCCACAAGCTGTGTCTCTTTCGAGCCCCAGAACCGCAACTTCCTCGCAACAAAATGTCTGATAGTTTCGCCAATCTCTGGAATACTTCTGCTGGGACTGGTCCCAAGCCTGCACAACGCACCCTGGGCGGCGCGCTGGCTGCTCAGCCCTCTGCTGCTGGTACAGCAGGCGCACGCCGTCCGGGCCCCGATGCGTTCTCCATCTTAGCGTCCTCCAGGCCGAATCCTTCATCTACACCCGCTACGCGCTCTCAGACGCCTGCTTCAACTTCATCCGCACCAACTTCGAAGCCTCCATCACGAGGCCCAAATGATGCGTTTAGTGGACTACTGGCTGGTTCTGGCACGTTCAGCTCGGGCAATGAGGCCGGGATGAGCATGGCTCAGCGCGCGGCGAAGGCCGAGGCGGATCGTCGTGCGGCGTTGGAGAGGCAACAGGCTGCGAGCAAGAAGCAGAATGCGGCCTGGGCCGGTCTTGACGCCTTAGGCTCCGGTTCACTTCCTGCCGCTGGTCCTATATCCCCATCGAACGACGATGATGACTGGTTGTTCGGCAACGCAACATCGCCCGCGACGACGAGGAGTCCACCAAGTACGATCGCGTCACCTGCACCTGCTCAATCTGCTAAGCAGTCGGATGACTGGGGTCTCGACGAGTTCATCTCTGCTCCTGCTGTGAAACCGATCGCATCGTCCTCTCGGGCTAGTCCCGCTCCCGGACCTAAAGCGGCCAAGGCCAACGGTTCATTCTGGGACCTTGATGCTCTGGATGCAGCACCAGCACCAGCGACACAGAAAGCACCATCCCGCTCGGGCACACCAGGAGACTTCGATTTCGGTGATCGCGAGGACGGCCCGTCGAATGGCGATTCCGGTGACGAAGACAACATACTAGGAGCACTCGGACGGCCAGCATCCGAGCGTAGGCCGTCCCCCCGCGCAACTGTAAGCCCGCATTTGACCTTACGTGTGTACGGTTTACTCATGACTGTCGCTTGCAGGCCACACCTCCCACACGATCGGGCCGCAATTCACCGCCACCGCATCTCATTGGACAGATAGTTGAAATGGGCTACACTTTGGAGCAGGCCCGCGTTGCGCTCGCCGCCACAGACTCCGGTGAAGATGTACAGGCCGCGATAGAGATCCTACTCTCCGGAGGAACTTCAGAGTCTGCACCTGCACCCCCTAATGGGGCGTCAAGACGGCCCAGGGACGAGGACGACGGCTGGGGAGATTCACCTCGCCGTCGCTTCAACTACGACGATGACGATGACGACGCCCCGCCGCACCGTGCTCCTCCACGAAATCCTGCAGCTTCTCCCCCCACGTCCCCGCCTACGCGCCCTGGCATGTCACGCGCCAACTCCTCCACCCGCGAACGTGAAGGCGAAGGCATCCAAACGGACAAGATCATTGCCCAGGCTTCCGAGATTGGCCTTTCGGTGTTCAATCGCGCTAACGCACTGTGGAAGAGCGGAAAAGAGCGTGCTCAGAAGTTGTACGAGGAGCAGCAGGCTGCACGTGCGGCTGCCACCTCGTCGAGCTCGGCGCCGCCGCGCAAGGATGGACGGCCCAAGTGGATGCAAGATGCCTCCGCTGAGGATGGAGAGGCTTCTCCTCCGACACAACGTCGCAGACCAGCTCAGGAAACCCCGGCGTTTGCAGATGACGATGGCCCCGCCCCAGCTGCTCAACGCCGCCCGCGTCCCGCACCCGCAGAGCCTTTACAAGCCGTACCTCCAACAGGTGACCTTTTCTCCGACGCTCCCGCCGCGCCCGCCGAACCTCCAGTCCGCGGATACCGCCGTCGCCATTCGCCTCCGCGTACCCGCGCACCTCCTACTGCGGCCGCGTCATCTCGGGCCACGCCACCTCAAGCCGCCCCAGCTCTCAAGACGCGCCAGGCTGTCTCCGCAACACCCGCCGCAATTGCTACCTCAGAACGTCATAAAACATCCGGTACCGAGATGTTCAAACTCGGACGCTACGCCGAAGCCGAGACGTTCTACTCTTCAGCGATATCCTCTCTTCCCTCGAACCACCTTCTCCTCATACCCCTCTACAATAATCGCGCCGCTGCGCGGTTCAAGATTGGCGATACAGCCGGTGCAATCGAAGACTCTACGACTGTCATCACGCTCGTCGGCGCCGACTATAGGCCGGGAATAGAGAAGAAAGTCGAGAGGAAGGAAGAGGGTGCAGGTGTTGATCTCGGACTGGCTCTTGTCAAGGCCTGGAAGCGCCGCGCGGAGTCGTATGAGGGACGCGAGAAGTGGTCCGAAGCTCTCAGTGATTGGGAACGCGTCGCGGGATGCGATTTTGCGGGTGCGCTCAGGCGAGAGGGTGCTACCGGTGCTGCACGATGCCGTAAAGCTACTACTCCTGCCTCCTCTGCGCCTAAACCAGCGGCACCGAAGCCCAAACCGAAACCTGCAGCACTGTACAGGCCACCAGCCAAACCCGCACCTCCCTCTGAAGCCGCATCGCGTCTGAAGAAGGCAAACGCCGAAGCCGAGGCGGAAGACAACGCCAAATACGAGCTGAAAGACTCGGTGGAAGCGCGCATCATGGCCTGGAAGGGTGGTAAGGAGACGAATATCCGTGCTCTCATCTCGAGCTTGGAGAACGTACTGTGGCCGGAGCTCGGTTGGGTGAAAGTCGGCATGGGCGAGCTCTTGACGCCTGCGCAGGTCAAGATCCGGTATACGAAGGCGATCGCGAAGTTGCACCCGGACAAGGTATGTCAACCTGGCTGAGACTCCCTTGAAGTATATAGTCTGACACATTTTTACAGTTGAATGCACGCAATACGACAGTCGAGCAACGTATGATTGCAAACGGTGTATTCAGCGCTCTGAACGACGCATGGAACGCTTTTCAACAATCGAGTTGAAAAGGGTACACAGATGGATTTATCGTGGCATTATAGGGTGTGGAATAGACGTGGACAATACTATATAATCGGATGTGAATCCTGAAAGCAAAGCACAACGAAAACAACAGTCCGTGATTGATAGCGATGGCGAGACAAACACAAATCGGTCGGATATGCTATAATACAGCCCAAGTACCGGAAGCATCCTTTCGCACCATCCCCTCGCTTTGCAAAAGCTGCAGCGCCTCATCCACCTGTAGATCGCCGATATATGCCCACCTCTCATCCCTATTCTGCAGCGATTCTCGGACTCGTGCAGTCGTGGGTCCTCTGCGCGCGCGAGTCTTGACGAGACTGCGAATCACGGATAGTACGGGTATGGCCAGCAAACGCGCAGTGCAAGGCACGTATGCCTCCTCGCCATCTTCAGGGTCTGACAACTCGTCCGGATCAGGCTCTTGCGTTCGCGATCTCCCCGAGCGCGTCGACGCCCTGCTCACATCCCCGCCTTGCGTCTGACTGCCCGCACTGCCTGCTTTCCATAAACGACTATCTTCTAAATCCCATCCCCTCCCTCGCTCTGGCATTGGGCAGATGATGCCATCTTTCCCCATGATCACTATGCTCCCGCGCTTATGGAGGTCTATGAGTGAATGTGTGAATAGCCGCTTGATCTTGACCCTCGGAGGCTCGCTATGTGAGCGTGATTGCGAAGCATGCTCTTCTATACGCTGCCTGTGCAGCTTGTTGGCGAGCAGAGCCAGTTCTGGTACGCGACGCAAATGAGACATAGTGAAACCACATTCCGTCGATGCCGGCTCTTTAGGTTGTGGCAGGGACAGAGGATTGGCTGAGGCGCGTGGGGTTCTTGAAGGTGAAGGATAACTATGCAATCGCTTGTTTGGTCGAGGTGTGAGATCTGTCAGAGGTCGGCGCTTTGTCGGCGTCTTGATGATTTCATCAAAACCGTATTCATTGTCGGAATCGTCGAGGGATGTGGGGCGCGAGGGACCATGAGCGATGTAGTGCATCATGTATGTGCGGAATAGGGTAGTTGATGTGTCTTGACGTCGAATACGCGTTGGGTGTCGCAGTTTATGAGGTGACTGCCCGAGCGATTAGCGCAAGGAATAATGTTATGCCAGATGTGATCTTACAGAACGAGACCGAGGGGTCTTCGTTGGGCTGCCGGCGGCAGAAGCGGTATATGCTGAGGCTTCCGACAAGGCCGGTGAGGGAGGTACGAATCGGGATCGATTCTTCGAAGGTGTCCGGGGCAAAATGAAGGAGGGTCCGGGATCTGGCAGCGGTTGATGACGTTCTGCGCTGTGAGACGGTTGTGGGCCTTGAGGGTCTTCGACAGTGTCCTCAGCCGCCTGTACGGGTTTGATAGAAGTCGGTGCCATTATAGGTCTGGGAATTTCAAAAGGATCGTCACTCTCATAGCGATCTTCGTACAACGCCTTCACCAGTCGCCTATGACTAAGTACATCCGCTTCTGAACGGCATCGTGCTGCACGGCGTTTAGTCTTAGAGCTGAGAGCCACCTGCTTCTGATGAAACTCACTTATAAACACATTCGAAAGACCCCGCCCAAAGCGCAACTTCACCACTTTACCCTTCACCTGGACCCAATCTCCTTCTCTCGCAAGGGCAGGGGGTAGTTTCAAATCGTACCCGGCGCCATCGTGTCTGTGGGCACACTCCACGACCGCCGTCCCATCATCAACTACATTAATTTACTATAAACTTCATATCCATCAAGTTGCAATGGCACACTCACCGTAGTACACATCCCTCTTTTCATACCGTATAAGGCCGACAAGTACTCCCACAATTGCAACGTGCATGCATGGCACTCGTCCTAGTCGATAGTATGAAGCAGCTAGGATATTACAATGAGCGATGTGTCGCTAGAGTAGGGTATCTAGAGACGCACATCTGTTCTTGGGGGTGACTTCGTCCATATCGACAACTTCCGCGGCAAGGCAGGGAGCAACGGCGTCTTCGTGATTGTGCCGGGACAGCCAAGTCCATACGCTCTCAGACCATTCATCTGATGAATGCGTGGCAGTCTTGGTCGGTGCGCCCTGGTGTGCTGCCGTAGACTGGTATTCAGAACCTGAAATCACCATTGTCACGCTCCTGAGGCCTGGAAATCGACAATAGGGGTTTCCTCGGAGGTGACGGTACCGGTTTGAGAGCTTTCGAGAGATCAAGTATAGCTGCTAGTCACGAGAAAGTGCGCAGCTTGAAGTAGCGTCAGCCTCGCGAGGAGGTCATGGTGGTGGTTCGAGGCCAGACCAGGACGCGACTGGCAACGCTGTCTGCCAAACTCGAACTCACGTGTGAGTCAGATGGTCGCGCGGTCCCATCAACAGCTGTCGACAGCTGTCGACGCGTCCTCGCCGCTCGTTTTTCTCGACCACCATCCGCGCGGCACCACAGGCTTCGAGTACTCTGACCGGCTGCATACAGTCTACACGCATCGCCTTCTGCTCTTCTTTGACACGTGAATGATAGCAACACCACATCCAGCATCAATTGGTCGCACATACCACTCAATTCACTCATCAGCCTCATTCATACCCCGGGCATCACTACGTACCCATGTAGAGGTGTAATCTAGACCTATCTCCCCTATCTCCCATTAAAAAGATTTGATATGCTGATCCCGATATTTTGAAGTCAGACGGGCGGGCACTGCAGTCTTGACCAATAGCACCATCCTGCTCCCACTCGGAGCAATGAGTCCGTCGCCGTGTGCTGAAGAAAGAGGCACTATATCAGAATTCACGCGCTTGACCTACTGATGTATCAGTCGCACAGCTGTTGTCCTAGGTCGAGTCCTGTCGGGGCCGCTAACCACGGATGACGTTCACTGACTAGGACACCGGATCTGATTGGCGCTGAGGTCTGTGCGTATAAAGGCTGGGTAGACGCACCGCCAAGTGAGCTCGCGTTCTCTTGCAATATGTCCCTCAACATCCTAGAAAAGACCAACGAACAAGATGATCCGTCATCTGATTTGGACATTTCCTCGTTCATACATAGGAGGCTCGGCGCTTGGGATTTGTATATCAAACAAGATTCTTGGTCTTGGTTGGCGCTATTCACGGCGCCGCTCGGGTCTCTTAGCACTCTGTCCACCCATCAACAGGATCTGATGTACGTCATGAGGACATTACGCGATCTATGGTCGATATCAAGTGGCTACATCGTGCTTTACTTTCTTGTCCTCGTTCCGAACATGTTCCTCCCATCTATCAGTTTATGGTAGTGTCCCGCAACCGCTCTTATAACCTATCATGCTGACATGAACTAGGTACTCCGGGCAGCTGATCAAGCAAGTACGGCATCGGATCTCGATCTTCTGTTTGAATAGTTCTCATCGCCCTACAGGTCCAAATCACCATTGAAACTCGCGAGTTCTTGCAAGAAGAGCTATTCAACACCATCTACATGAAATTCGCATGCAGCGTTCTGGAATTGATCCTCAAATCCGTTGCAGAGAAGGCGGAGAGTATGCTGCAATTACGTACTCGGAGGGTATACACTGCCCGCACGATCCGGGCAATGTCACGTTTAGATATCCCTACCGCTTCGGATCCCATCGTTCAGTCCAAGCTCGCGCAGCTGGGAGGATCGGCCTTTACTTCCGGCACATCTACGCACTTTACTTCTGCGACGGCGGCGGTCGACGTTCTGTCGCAGTCTATGGCGATAGTCAGTACAGTCATCAACCTCAGCTCTCAAGTGGGAGTTCTTTTCGTCGTACTACGCGATCAGCCAGACGGTGCTGCCCTTGCTGCTACCACAGCGGTGCGCTATGGACTCTCGCTTTTGTATTCAGATTCGTTCTTTGGTATCGCCAAACGCAGTACGCAACACGGTCCTGTCGAATACTTGTCGCGATCTAACGCATCTTTAGCCTGGGCAGCCACAACCGAAAACGATGCGTACATTCGGATGATGGGCTTGTATAACAGCATCTGCTACACTAAACATCGTCAAGAGATATACACGAACAACTTGGCGACTTTCATGGCTGATGGTGCATAGCATGTCAATTACTGCAGACAGTAAGCTGACGAATACTTTCTCGACACGTAGAGTTCCAGGCACTCCAAGATCAACTCGGCGATGTCGACTCGCAGCCATTTTGGGACTTGCGCCAAGACCTATTTGGTTCGGGAACTACTATGAGCCAGCTTCGCGCTCTCTTGGATAGTGCATTTAAGGAACTACCCAAAGTATGTACCCATTCCTCTTTAAAGCACATGACACTGATGCACGGACGTGTAGGGCGTCTTCATGCTTCGGGCCATACGCACGCCGCTCTCCATCCCCGTGTCCATGGCGTCGCTAAACGTCGTCGAACAGTCGACCTCTTCCTTTTTACAACGCTTCGTTCACATGCGCTATCAGCTATACCAGCTTTCCAACAGCATGAGGAGTTTGAGGGTGCTTTACGAGATCGAGGTCGTCGATAACACCGTCACCGATGGCAAGCTCCCGTATCCCGAGAATACGCAGAGTCTGCGATCTGGCATCTCCGTTGAGTTCTGGTGGGAGAACTTATCAGGCAATTCTTGTGCATGATCTGATGATTCTGCAGCGACGTATCTTTCATGTACCCAGGCAAGGATATATATGCGGTACGGAACGTATCTTTCCGTGTTGAGGCGGGACAACTTTGCGTACGTTCCCATGATACTGCTCAGCCAGGTTGGATCTCATCCTGTATCTCTCACTAGGTCATTGTCGGCACGAACGGTTCGGGTAAAAGCACCCTCCTGAAGCTCCTAACGCGCGTGTACGATGTTACCGAGGGCCAAATCCTTATAGATGGCAGAGACATCAAATCGCTGAAGTTGCATGATCTGCATCGCGCTTTAAGTGTCCTATACCAAGACTACACTCACTTCCAGCTTTCTGTGAGGCCAATAATGTTCTACAAACCTATCCTACATGGTGATTCTCATGCCCAGTTTACAGCTCCGTGACAATATTGCGATAGGTGACCCCGAAAACGCCGGCGACGACGACCGCGTTCGGGAGGCCGCGCGCCTGAGTGGCGTGGATTCGATCGTCGACAAGCTTCCAGAAGCTTATGGGACATATCTTCATCGCCCAGTACAGGACGTATATAATAATATTCCTTCAGGCGTCCAGAAGCTTTTCGGTCGCGAAACCACGTTGAGTTCGGGGATGGGGATTGGTAAACACGATAAAACAGACACTTGGCTTAGCGGTGGACAAATGCAAAAACTTGCGGTGTATGTTCACGAACGCTAATTTCCATATACATCCCACGAGGGACTAACTTACTACAACCAGGGCTCGTACATTCATGCGCTCCTTACCAGATGACCCACGCGTGGGTCTTCTTCTCTTCGACGAACCGAGCGCGCATCTCGATCCAAGGGCAGAATATGGTGCGCTTCATATGTGATAGCGTCTGTAGACTCATGGGTGAACTCCCACTAGACCTCTTCGCACGTCTACGTACCCTGCGTGGTGAGAAGACCATGTTTTTCTCGACCCATCGCTTCGGAAATCTGACCCGCCATTCCGACCTGATCTTGTACGCAGAACCTCGTGCCGTCTCATCGCTCATCTAGCTGACGTCGTATTGACAGATACATGCACGATGCCGCGATAATAGAGGCTGGGACGCACGAGCAGTTGCTTGACCGAGGCGGACAGTATGCAGAGCTATGGAAGCTCCAAGCTCACGCCTTCATGTAGCCGACATCTGAACCTGTAACCGAACACTAACCGATCACAAGCTGCCCATATAGAGAGTATCCTGATACTATCAACGCGAGATGCTGTACAATACGATACCCATTGCTGGATGCTCTTTGGCTAAGCTCGATTACTTCTTCGGCGATACGTAATACACCCCGGTTCACCTAGGCGCGTTTAGTCAGCTCCAACACCCAGCTCGGATGTAGTGTAGTTTGTATTGGGCTTCTTCTACATGCCAACACAGTGTGGCGATATCCACGGTTTGTCGTTCGACCGGGGGCGGACGCGTGTGCAACGCTGATCGCTCCCGCGTGCTGCAACGCCGGCGCTCTTTCCCGCGCCCCTTCCTCTTGACCGCCATTGGCCTCACACCCAGAATTTCTGATGATACACCCCGAACTGCATTCTACATACGTCGCTTCTCTGAGTTATCAAATCCATAAATGACGACGGCATCGCACGAGCGTTGATTAGCCAACTCTATCATAGGTTTACTGGGTCACTTGTGGCCTCTGGGCCCGTAGCCCCCTCTCAATCAGAACCGGATGTACCACGATGACGAACCAACTTCAGCCATGGACGCTCTGCCTACCGTGTCTCAAGGGTAGGAGGTGCGGCATTGGCGTTCATCCATGAGTCAAGTACACGGCTTCGGTCGGAATCTCACCGGGAACGCGCGTGATGATGCATATCGAGCCGGACAACTGCTTTGATCTGCGCTGAGTACTGAAAGTATAAAGGATTGTGCGGCGATATCTCTCAGGACAACTCCCCCGCCAGATGTCTTCCAGCGTGTCAGAGAAGCCCGGCGATCAAGGCGACACGTCCAATCTCGACACCTCTTCCTTTGAACACAAGAGACTGGGTGCTTGGGATATTTACACCCAGCAAAAACCGTGGTCTTGGGCTTCGTTACCTACGTCTCCTCGGGGATTCTTCACTGCTTTCTCCACTTATCGGCAGGATGCTCTATACGTTGCGCAGACATTACGCGACCTTTGGTCAATATCGAGCGGCCTCATCGTGCTATACTTCATCACCCTCGTGCCCAAGATGTTCCTTCCTTCCATCAGTCTATGGTACGCCTCGTTGCATCTCACCAGCAACATAGCAGTTCATTGACCTTCTCCAGGTATTCCGGCTAGCTCGTCAAAGAGGTACATCCTCAACTCACCCATGTTCAACGTCCTTGACGCGTGCAAAGGTTCAAGTCACCCTCGAAACTCGCGGTATCCGGCAGGAGACACTATTCAACATCATCGCCATCAAATTCGCATGTAGCGTGTTTGAGCTCATCAACAATTTCTTAGCCGAGAGAACGGAGCGACTGCTGCAGTTGCAGTCTCGGAAGATGTACACCGCCCGCATTGTTCGGGCCATCTCCCGATTGGACGTTCCCACGGCCGCCGACCCCATCGTGCAGTTCAAGCTGGCTCAGCTTGCAGGACCGGTCTACTCTAGTGGCTCGACCACGTATATCCCGTCTGCTTCATCAGCCGTGCTGATCCTGTCGAAGTCCGCGGAGATGGCCAGTACAATCATCGACCTCAGCTCTCAGCTAGGGGTCATGTTCGCGGTTCTACGCGCTCAACCGGACGGTGCGGCTCTTGCCGCTATGACAGCCCTGCGATACGCTTTCTCGCTCGTGAATTCAGGACCGCACGTAATGAGCACGCACAGTAAGTGTGAACATCTCGAGTCCAATGAACGATCGCCATCTAACGCAACTGCAGCATGGGCTGCTACAACCGAGAACAAGACTTATATCCGGATGATGGGTATATACAACAGTGTGTGCTACCCCAAACATCTTCAAGAGATCTACACGAACAATATGGGAGCGTACATGTCTGATAGTGCGTCTTGTCTTCTACCTGAGTTAGTCAAAATCAGAGTGCTCACTCATTGGTCGCACAGCGTTCAAGCGCCTTCAGGACCAACTCGGCAATGTTAACTCGTTGATGTTCTGGGAGCTGCATCGGGAGACGTTTGGCTGGGGGATCTCAATGAGGCAGATCCGCGATCTTTTTGAGAGCGCTCTTGAAGAGCTGCCGAAGGTGAGCGTAGACATACGACATGTCCTGCAGTCCAGCTGATGCTCGCATGCGCAGGGCTTCTTCATGCTACGTGCGATCCGCACACCGCTCATTGTCCCAGTTTCGATGGCATCGCTGAACATGGTCGAGCAGTCAACATCTTCTTTCATGGAGAGCCTCGTCAACATACGTAACGGCTACCACGAGTTTGCTAACAACTTGAAGACCGTGAAGATGTTGTACGAGCTCGAGGAGTTGGAGCCCACTATCTCCGATGGCAAGCATCCATATCCCGAGAATGCTCAAAGCCTTCGATCCGGGATCGCAGTGGAGTTCTGGTGAGTCGGCTCGATCGACGACCCCGACGCTCTCATTGACTCACGGAACGTCAGCGATGTATCGTTCAAGTATCCCGGCAAGGAGGCGTACGCAGTACGGCACATATCGTTCCGCGTCGAGGCAGGACAACTCTGCGTACGCTTTCACGCCACCGCTCTACCGGCTTTGCGTCTCATGTACTACCTTCATAGGTCATCGTTGGCACGAATGGGTCGGGTAAAAGCACGCTCATGAAGCTTTTGACCCGCGTGTACGATGTCACCGAGGGCAAGATTCTCATAGACGGAAAGGACATCAAGACACTGAAGTTGCATGATCTCCATCGCGCCATGAGCACGCTGTTCCAAGATTACACCCATTTTCAACTCTCGGTACGCCCGCGAACCCTCACTACTGCTCTCGCAGTGACATCTGAACTCGACCTAATCATGCAGCTTCGTGACAACATCGCGATAGGCGATCCCGAGAACACCGATGACGACGAGCGCGTCCGAGAAGCTGCCCGCTTGAGCGGTGTCGATTCAATCGTCGAGAAGCTCCCGGAGGCTTACGAGACATATCTCCATCGCCCGGTACAAGACATGTTCAACAATGTACCCCCAGGTACCAAGAAACTCTTTGGTCGTGAGACCTCGATACAAGGGGGGATAGGGAGTGGCAAGTATGACAAGACCGATACATGGCTGTCCGGAGGCCAGATGCAGAAGCTTGCTGTGTGCGTTGATGATCGCCCATACCCAAGGCTGTCCTTAAACTGACATCCGGTGCATACAGAGCTCGGACATTCATGCGTTCACTACCCGATGATCCACGGGTTGGCCTCCTTCTCTTCGACGAACCGAGTGCACATCTCGACCCCAGGGCAGAATATGGTACGCCTACTGTACCTTTGCATGCGTTGATACATGTCTGACACGAACCAGACCTTTTCGCGCGTCTGCGTACCCTACGCGGCGAGAAAACCATGTTCTTCTCGACCCATCGGTTCGGCAATCTCACCCGCCACGCCGATCAGATCATGTACGAACGACATGTTGTCACCCACCGCCACTGGAACTGATACAAAGAGAGCAGATATATGCACGACTCCGCGATAGTTGAGATCGGCACACATGAGCAACTGCTGAAACGAGGAGGCCAGTACGCGGAGTTGTGGAAGCTGCAGGCCGAGGCATTCTTGTAGCCGACCTGAGAACGCTTGCGCTAAGGCCTAGTATGACGAGCTACTGTAAATCAGTCACCTATGTTGCCTTACTATGTGAATAGTACGCAGCTATGTTGAAAATAAGCTCCCAGGCTCGGCTCGGGCGCAGGAAAGATCACCGAGGCAAGCCCGAGACGGCGAGCGGCGTCGGGTTCTCAGCATATCGTCCAAGCCCATCTACCATCATCGGCGGACTTCGCTTGCTTCGTCGCTGGCGTGATCCTCGGCGCCAGCACAAGCCTTACACCAGCCAGTTCGTATAGAAATCTGCCTATAACACACATTCAGAAAAGACTACAGAAATAATACACTACAAAGAGAATACAAATGTACAGGACAGTACGGCAGAGGCATGAGTCGGGATAGATGGGGCCGGCGCGATGAATTCGGATCACTAGTGAGAACGAGAATGAACAATGAGAAAGCCTGCGGCGTATATATTGGCAGAGTCCAAGACGATGCTGACCGAGCAGGCAGAGATGGTTAATTGGGGTGGGTGGATTCGAGTGGGACCAAATGCGATGTATACAACTATCAGTATCAGTGAGGTACCGTTCGGTCAGTTTATATGAGTCGGATGCGGATTACGGACGCCCTTCGTGGGAGGTATACAGGTTCAGCGCTCGGCGACCGTGTGACCCGAGGCAGGACGTCGTGAGCGGCGAGACGTGTTTAGAAGTGCATAGGGCTCTGCGGCGCGTCGACGGTCAATGAGTTCGCGAGCGGACTTGGGTTCGCCGGGTTATTCCCAAAATTGCCGCCGCGTTTATGCCTGCGGTCGAGCAACGTCGCGCCGTCCATCGTAAGCTCGAACTTGCCGTTCCTCGCGCGAGTCCGGCCCTGGTCGCGCTGACCCGCCCGGCCGTCCGACATACGCTCCTGCCGTTGCCTGATCGACGATTGAGCGGCGACAGGGACGTTCTTCGTCTCGTCATCCTCATCGTCCTCGTTCAGGTCTGTCAAGAAGCCAGCCTTGCCAGCGCCGTCGCGGCCCTTGTAAGCCCGTCTCCTCGCGCCTTCCTCCTCCATGCGGTGGACAGCGTAGGTGACGTCGAACGCCTCCTTGAGCGTCGCGAGACCGGGCGAGCGGCCCTCGCGGGCTCCAGCACCGCGCATCGACGACAACAAAGGCGAATCGAGCGGCTGCTCGACGCGAGGTGTCGGGGGTGGCGGCGGACCAGCCTGGTCGCGGATCCACGGGTGTGCGAGGAACTCGTCAATCGTGAAGCGCTCGGCGGGGTCAACGCACAGCAAATGCGTGATGAGGTCCTTGGCTGCAGTAACATCGTGAGCCATTTATTCCGGATTCAGCAACAAGGAATGCATACCAGACGGGTTGATGTCATCCCACCAAGGGCTGAGGAAAGTGTAATGTCCCCTCGCGACTTTTTCAGTCAAGACATTGATACTCTCGTCATAGAACGGCGGGAAACCACAAAGCAGGGTATACAGAACGCAGCCAAGCGCCCACATGTCAACGCTCTTGGAGTACCGCTCATCCTTGACGATTTCGGGTGCGGTGTAGCCGACGGTGCCGCATGGCGTCATCGTCTCCTCGTTCCAAACGACCTTGGAGAGACCGAAATCGGCAATCTTGACACGGCCAATGCCTCCGCCGCCGACGCCGGGGATGAACTCGCCCTCGTCCTCCTTCTCTTCGTCGTACTGACGCTGGATCGGGTGCTTGGACGGGATGATTGGTATCCTGTCAAAGAGCAGGTTCTCGGGTTTGATGTCCCTGCGGCTTACGTAAACATCCGCGTAGCTCCACAGGATGACTGGCGCGCTTACCGATGCACGACGCCGCGCTCCTCGTGCAGGTAGCGGATGCCCTGAGCGACCTGGACGATGACATGCCGCGAGAGAGCCTCGCTGAAGTACGTAAGCTTGACGATCTGGTGGAACAGTTCTCCGCCCTCCATCACTGAATGCAAAGAAGCTTGTCAGGGAAAGTTCGAATGACGTAGACAAGGGACGCGGCGCCCACATTCGAGGACGAGGAAGTAGTACTCCGGAGATTCGGAGAAGGACAACAACTTGACGATGGCGGGATGTTGGATGCCACGCATAATCTGCACCTCTGCGGAACGTTGAGCAAAGTTTATTCGGCGAGTCGAGATGCGGGGCGATGGGAAACGGTACCTTTGAGGATGTTCGCGCGCTAGAGAAGCAAGCGATGTCAGCCCATGCCCGGTCCGTAGTCAAAGATCGCTGGGAAGGAGAAAGTCAAGTACCTCTGTCACGCGCGGCCTCTTCTTAAAGTTGGGGTTCAGGTGCTTGTCGCCGGCCTAAGCACGCGGTAAACACCATGGTCCCAACGAATGACAAAGCCGCGCGAGATAGAGGACGAAAGGGGTGGAGGTAATAAATCAGTATGTGTAATTGTACAGTAGGATAGAGGGGGAGGAGAAAAGAAATGGCGAGAAGACTAACCTGGGAGGACGTGAGCTCGAACTTGCGGACGACCTTGACTGAATCGGGAAGTCAGCTCGCGCCCGATGTCTATTCCGGTAATCACGCACCAGCCACTTTCTGGCCCGTCACGGTATCCACCGCCTTGAAGACGTTAGAGAAGGCGCCACTGCAAAGGCGCCCGTCAACGTTGGAATCGCATGGCAGGCTGACAGGACACGCACTCTCCCATCTTCTCCAGCAGCTCAAAGCGCTCGAGGCCCTTGTACCTCGGCAGCTTGTTCTTCGCATCGCGCTCCTCTGCCACGATCTGCTCCACCTCCTTGGAATATTTGTGCTGCGTGGTACTTGTTTGTGATGCGGGCGCGGCCTGCTGGGTCGATGTGCGCTTCTCGGGTACGGACGACTGCGTCATCGGCTGTTGCTGTTGTTGTTGCTGGTACGCTCTTGAGCGCGAGTCGTGGGCTGCGGATGGCGGTGGGGTCGAGAGTTCGTCCGAGGCGCGGGGGCTGGCGTGAGTGTGGGCCTTGCCGTGGCGAATGAGGTCTGCGCATATCATAAATATTTGATTCTCAGCTCCACGAAATCGCACACTAACTCTTGAATGCATCAACGACTGCAACGCCGGGCGGCATGATTGGCGATTATTGGGAGTCGGTAACGAGGGAGGTGTAAAGAGGAGAGGGATGAGGTTGGGAAGCAAGCGCGAAAAGCGGGCGCGCGATCAAGTAGTAGCTAGCGAGCGGAGACCATCGTCATCGTCATATGCATCATTCGCCGCTCGCCGTTCCTGGATGGCACCGGCCCCGTGGCTCCCGCTTTCTCGAGCCCTTTGTTCGCGTTTCCGCCTCTCCTCACTCCAGACCCGGCCCTGGTCGAGGCCTCTGTACACCTTAACCCGCAAACGATACGGTTCTGAACCCGTCTCTTTCTGCCAGCCGCTCAACAGCATCATCCAAATTTACTCAAACAACACACGCCATGCCGGCGCGGAAGCGTCCGTCACTCCACGCAGCAAAGCATATCAATATCCTACTCCGGACGATGCCCGTATAACCCAGTGGCGCGCCTACACACGCTGCTAGCCTCACAGTCCCTCTACATCACAACGAGCCCCTAGCTCCACTGGCGCCTTCGCTCCCCGTCCCCGAACCACCACCTATCCACTCGATCGGAACGCCTCTTCGCCGCGCGAGGGAGCCCCCGCGCCGTAGGGACGGATATTGGCTTGCCCCGTCCCGCAAAGCTGCCGGCGGTTCCTCGAGTTGGGGCGTATGGACAAGGAGCAGGCCCTGATCAAATAAAGTACGTGAGCCTCCGTTCTTCCATTCAACGCCGCGCGCATGACGCCGCTGCACCCCGCTGGGGCTGTTTCGAGAATAACCACGAGAACGAGAGCGGGTTGAACTTACTTGAGCGGGAGACAGCCCAACCAAGGAAACAACGCTCTCTCGGGGCCGGATGACGTTGATTTTCCGCGGCGCGGACCCTGGCTCGCCAACGTACACATCCGCCACAGGCTCCGCGTCGTCTGCACGACCATCTTCTGCGCCCCTCGCCGAAGCAGATGGCTCAGAGCCTGAGGCGATAATAAACACGCCCGCGAACGTCGCCGCGCAGCCGTACAGAAACGTGACGAACTGGTGAAACGTCGTGTGCCGGAAATCGCCGTACAGGATCGCCGAGCCGACGATGGCGGAGAGGTTGAACAGCACGAATTGGGCGGGTATGACGATCTGGCGGGCGCTCGATGGTCAGCCGGGTAACTAGGGCGTTGTGGGATGCATCTCACTTTACTGTCGAATCGCATCAAGGCGCGATTCAAATAGCGCACTTGGCCCACGCCTGTAGCAACCAGAACCTTGTGCGTCTTAGTAAATGAGATAGATTCGCAACGTCACGGCGACTGACGACTAGAATGGGGTATGTGATCCAGTATTTGAACATGCGCAGCCCTCGCGTCGTGAGTAGCGTCGAGACGCCCTTGGTCGACAGCACTGTGAAACCCCCTTCATATGATGTCAATGTGAATGTGAGAGAATGTGCATGCAATCGGCGTTTCGTACCGAACAACGCGCAACAGCCGACATCTATCAGTACATATTTGTCGCCGATGGGCCTCGCGGACAGGTTGACAAGTATGAAGGCACCGACGATGTACACACAAGCAAAGGCCTCAAACACAGTTTGCGAGATAGCCTCCAGTATCTGCTCGGGTGACAAGCGAGCGTCTGACGCGTGTACCGACAGGACGACAGTGACCGCGCCGATAATGGCAACAGCCACCCCAAAGAGATCCCGTTTCCTAAACCGCTCGTGCAAGATGAGGGGCGAGAAGAAACAGTTGGCGACGAGCGCGAACTGGATAGAACATCATCAGCATTTATAATATGTGTCTGTAAAGTGTGTCCGAGCGTACCGTTCCGAGAGGTGCCACAACGGAAGCAGGTGCAAAGCCATACGAGATGAAGTTACCGATCTCCCCAACATTCATCAGAGCAAATCCAGTCCACCTATAGCAAAACTCCATATCATTGTCCACAAGCACTACACCGAGAACGGACCATAGTTTCGACTTGAGATAATTATCCGTTTCCTCCCCCGTATCTTTTGTATCCTCCTGCTCAAGCTGTGGCTCCGATCTTGCGCGCCACCTCAAGAACACCGTCCACGACCCGCTCTTCCTATGAGTGCGCATCTCATGTGCACTCCCTCCAGCAGACCCGTACGAATTTTCGCTGGCCTCCGTAACTCGCAGTAATGGCTGACTCTCGCCCGGCGTCCGCACAGGCGGCGTATGCAGATTATGCAGCGACTGCGACGACCGACTTCTCGACCACGGGTTCGGGTCGGGCGCAATATCCAAAGGCGTAGGCGTTCGCAGACTCTCCTCCGTAACAGATCCATCCCCATCCTCAGCAGCGCCCGACTCCGGCGACGGCGTAGTCCTCTGCAGCTCCAGCCGTCGATGCGCGAGCTTCTGCAAGTTCAACGCCAGCGATATGAGCACGTTGCCGAGAACGGCCACGGCGATACCGGCCGCTGTGGCCGAGTCGAATGTCGGCCAGTTTATGTCGCCCGGGTCGACTGCGAGCGAGGGTAGGGTGGGCATAGTGGGAGTCGAGGTGTGAAGGCAGGATGTATTTACGATACGCGAACCGAACGCGGCGCGGATGCAACTCTATCAAGCCGGAAGCACTATGTCATTTGTGGGTCGATATGGGCGCACGTTCAGTCGAAGCGATCAGCGCTTCTCCCGGTCAAATGGACAAGTGGCAACGAACGTGTTAAGCCGCGACCACGACCTCCTCTACAACCGCTAGCTGTATATCTACCTGGACTTGTAAAAGGAGATGCGTGCGAGACACGTACAGCACTCCGTGCCTCAGTTCCCGGTGTACTCTGCGGCGTTCTTGTCGAAGAATGATCTCGTACTTGGCGGAGGTGGAGGCGCGTCTAAGACTGGGATCAAGAATAAGCTGGTTCGCATATGAAAGTCGGAAGTGTTGGCTCTTTTCTGATGGGATCTGCGTACAGAGGCTGTATACTGTCAATGGCACCCTTACTATGAAGCTGGAGGATGAGGTCGAGTTGGAGAAGGGTGAGGACGCGCCGATGAGCATGGCTGGGCATCCGGACGTATGTGTGTTAACATGTGTTCCCGGAGTTGATCCTCACAACGACTCAGGGCGCCACGATACTGGCTGGTATTAATAGCGTAGAGGAGAAGCTACAGAAGGGCGAGAACGACAACTGTAGGATCTTTGTATTGAACGAGGAGCGCAAGTGCGTACTTCGTCCGTACTACGCGCGCCATTGATGTCCATGCGTGTTGTCAGGATTGAACTTCTGAAGGCCGTCTCTACCTTGCCCGCTTCAACTGAGGATGACTATCAGGTACGCCCGAACGCTCACTCGATAGTATTTCGCCCATGACATAGCCGGCCAGAAAGTCACCGTGATCTCTCAAGATGGGACACTCGCCGCCATTGCGGGGTCACAAGACGTACGCTCAAGACTGCCTTTGACATGACTCACGCGCTAACCTACTCGTACAGCTGACTCTTTTATCGTTGCCTGCTCTTGACCGCAAGAGTACACGCATAGACAAGGGGGAGATCTACGATGCCTCTTTCTCACCAGATTCTGTGAGTCGAAGAGATAGATTCAGACATTCGTAGTGCTTACGATACACACAGCTAGTAGTCACCACGACCTCCAACCTCCTCATCTATCCTCTACCAAGTCCAGTAGCCAAAGGCAAGGAGAAGGAATCAAGTTTCTCATTCTCCTCCCCCCGCACAATCGACGTCCCCAAACTCCCCGGCAACGCCAAAGGCGTCTTCCGCTCCGGCCGCTTCCACGAGATCGACCCCACCATCTTCTATACCGTCATCAACACCGTCCCCGATCGCAAAGTCAAAGGCTCGCAGCGGAAGGGGTATGTGGCGCGGTGGAACGTCAAGACGTGGAAGGTCGAGGCGTTGAGGAGTGCGGGGGATAAGGGGATTACGGTGTTTGATGTTAGTCCGGATGGAAAGTGGGTTGCGCTGGGGTCGTCGGATTGCTCGTTGAGGTTGTTGGAGGCTTATACGCTCAGCGTACGTTTCCTGTTGTCTTCATTGATGCCACCTCGACTGATATTTTGCCTTCATAGCCATTGCTCAGCATACTCAAATCGCACGAGTTCCCGCCGACGGTCTTGAAGTTCAGCCCCGACTCGTCTATACTTGTGTCAGGCAGTGCAGACAATACTGTCCGCTTAGTCGCTGTTCCAGATGAGATTGAAGGTACGTCGCGTCGTGACCGCTTCCATTGGATAAAGGACTGACTGACAACGTACAGGTTCACAATGGGGTCTCAGGATCATGGTCGCGCTCTTCGCGCTGTTGTTCGCTATCCTTATGCAGCTTGCCCTCACGAACAGGATATTCTGACTACATGCCACGTCTTCGTTCTTGTAGCCGTAGAGTACATATCGCCTCGAGGCTTATGAGTATTTGCGGAATGATACCCGTCGTTTGCGTGCGGGTCGGGGATATAAGATACAAAGCAGTACGAAAGCAGACATACACCAACGAAACAAACCAGAACAGGCACCTCAATCATAGTCATCGTCCTCCACAAGCTTCCTCTTAACCCCATTCGCCTGCGCATCCGCCGCGGGCGCCGTAACCTCCTCCATCCCCTCATCATCATCGTCGCCCCCACCAAACAACGCCTCATCATCGTCCGACCCCTCCTCGTTCTCACCCGGCGCCACAGCGTCCTCCACCCCAATCATATCGACGTCCGACGGCGCATACGGCACACTCCCCATCGCCGCCGGTTGCTGCTGCTGCTGGGGTATATGTTGTTGGGGAGGGGGGAGCGTTGCGGGCTCCATGTCTTCGTCCTCGTCCTCGTCGGAGGGCTCCTCTTCGATTTCCTCGATTTCTTCGTCGTATTGCTGTATTGTGGGGGGCGGTTTGTTCGGGAGGAGGTTGAAGTCGACAGAGGTGAGGCGGTCGGATTCGGGAGGGAGGCGGACGCCGAATGCTTCGGGGACGGCGGGGAGGGGTTGCGAGTTTGTTTGGGTTGCGAGTGACATGATGTACTACAGTTCATATGTCAAGCACAAGTTTATATGGGTACACAGATAATACGTTACGAACCTCTTTCGGAACACGTCCCCCAAGCTCCCACCCCACCCTCGCCTGCACCGCCAAAATCACATCATCAAGCTCAAGCTTATTATTCCGTCCCGCATGCTCGGCGTAGACGAGCCCGTCCTGGAGCACTTGGGCGGTATATCTGTGCGCGAACTCGAGGAGTTGGAGGAGCACGGCGGGTTGCGCGTCGTTTACGCCTGGTGTGGATGCTAGGATGAGGGAGATGTCGCGTGCGCTGGGTGGGATTTCGCCGGCTGCGTTGGTTGCGCGGGACATGGTGGTGGTGGACGCGTCGGACAAGGCGCGTGTGACGCGTCTTGCTCCCCACCACCAGCCTCGCGTACCGCGACCTACACATCAACGTCATGTCTTCGCAAGTGTCTGAAGAACAGGATGCTACGTCGGAGAAGCCACTTGAAGAACAGTCTTTCTTTGAGAATATCCTGACGCCCGGGTCTTCGCTGCACCCCACGTTTCTCTTCATCGTAGACTTTGCTCTAGCCTTCCTTGCGATGGTCTTCATCTCACTGGCCGTTCTCACATCCGGAAATGTGCACTTCTATATTCTACTCGGGATCACGCTGGCTCTGTGGGGAAGCATCAAGTGGTATGTCCTAAAGCCCTGGTCCATGCAGTTCATTCGCTCATACGCATCGACAGGTTCGTGTACGAATTACAGAATGCGCCACCGGTGGAGCCCAGTATACAAGACGAGAAGAAAGACCAATAATGCCCGCATCCGTATTACTTCCTTCCTCGGTCCGTGGACTCGTACCATTGCTTCGTAGAGCGCGCGCTATCCTGCGCCAAAGTAAACACTGCGGACCCGTGAGATCATACCATCTAACACCCAGAGATGACCGTGCTTACTATCTCGCTCAGTCGCGTCCAACCCTTCTCTGAATGCCGCAGCGACGTCGTTGGATTGCCCTGCGCCTCCGACTGGTCCCAGCGCGGCGAAATGTTGCGCTTGGTCGATGACCTCTGCAAGCCGATCTCGGAACGTCTGCAACCTTGATTAAGCGAAGTGGAGAGGGTCGTTGTGGGATACGTACCTTGGCGAGGTTCTCAGACATCTCCGTCGCACCCTCTTCGGAGAGTCTGTAAGGCGCAGTATCAGCGGACAGGAATACCACATGAAGAGCGCGCGCATACAGCCTCATGTAGATCCTCCCAAAAGCGTACCACGAAGCGCCCGCTCCTACAAGCGCGGATAATCGCACACTCTTCGGCTCAGCCTTCAGCGCGTTCTTGACGCGGTTCGAGAACGGCGGTGGCACCGTGAAGCCAGCGTAGTTCCTAGCTTGAACATGAGAACGATGAGAACGTTGAGAACGCATGTGCAGCAGCCACGTACGAGTAGATTAAGATATAAGCCATCCACATCGGCAGCTGTATCTTGCTTAAAGCCTTGATCTGAACCCCGCGTCACTCCCAACGCTCTTCAAAACGCGTCGAGTGAGCTCGTACATCGCGTTCATCCCCTCCATCGAGATGACCCATCTCAGGGATATCCACTTTGAACGTGCATTGGATTTTCTGGTCCAGATCAGACCCTCTCATGGACGCGTCTAGCGGTATGGAATACCTGGTTCTCCGCTAGGATAGAGTCTATAGAGTAATAATCGTCATCCATGGTCGACGCTCTTCGCGAACCGGCGGGACGTGACCGCGTCGACGCGACGCGCTCGCGTTCGCACGCGTCAGTGTGGCCCTTCGGCACGGCGAAGTGTTGACGTTGAGCTATCTCTCACCGTCACCACCCACTATGCTCCGCGCATCACTTCAGACAACATGCAGAGCGACGACCCCGGCAGCGCGCGCTTCTGCCGCTCCTAGGACATGTCGCGTACTCTCGGCGCGTGCGCTCTCAACAACACCACGACGAATGGCAGACATGCCGGATCGGGACGAGTTCATGAAGAGGATAGGCCAGACGGGCGTCTTCAAGCAGATTCAGGAGAAGAACCCGAAAGCCGCGAGTGCAATAGCGGACTTGTACGAGGTGTTGAAGGAATCCGGTACGTCGTACTCGCAGTACACTGCACGCGAGTCTCTGACGCCAGGGTAGGGATCGAGTTCAAGCCTAGACAGCTGCCGTCGAAGTTGCAGATGATGAAGCTGGCTATGAATAGGAGGTTTATTACTGCGTTTAAGCAGTGCGTGGTGGAGCTGGAGAAGGCGGGGATTGACTTCAAGTCGGAGGTGTGTGTGCATGTATACAGTATGTACAGGCTTTACTAAACTGGGGTGTAGGATGTGATGGAGAAGGTCATGACGAACCTTCATTTGGAACATGAAGCACATACGAAAACAGACGAAGCGTTGCGAAAACAGGCGGAGGCGAAGAAGGTTGGGGGTAGCTAGATGCAGCTCCCATCGCATAGGCTCTTTGCCGGCCGCTCGCACGGACCTACCTACATCCCTGTCCTATATAATGCTTCATTACCATCGCTCTAGCTTGTTTCCTGCCCGAGCCTCACACAAGGAATCTATATGGGCAGTACGCGATCACATGACTCCCACGTTCGGGCAAACGGACATGGCGAGTCGCGACGCGACTTGCTTCTCGCACTCATCCATCCATCATGGCAGAAGCATCTCCCGCCGAAACACCCGCTCCTACTATCGCACCTGAACATCCACTTCCCACCTCCATCCTCTACTCCATCGAATACCCCGGCTACGTCCGCCCCCAATCCGTCCCCTACGCTCTCCAAACCCTCGGCGGACAATCAAGCGTAAACACCGCGTTCCGAGCCGGCGCCTCAAAGCAAGAATCACTACTCGAGCTGAACCTGAGACCTGAGAACCCTTTCTCTCATCCTATACCCGGTGATGTCGTCAACACGAACAATATTGTGTTGAAGGTTGTGAAGAGAAAGAGGAGGCGAGTGAATGCTGCTGGAAAGGAGGAGAACATCGGAGAGTACACGACCGAGGCTGTTGGGACTGTTCCAAAGACTGTGCGATTTCGGAGTAGGTTGTGCGTATGATGATGCGGTGCTCTCATATCTGAGACGCGGATGTTGCTAGGTATGGTCGACTTCCAGTATCAGCCAGACATGAGCGACCCCGTCTCGAAATTGCGCGTGGGTATGGCGAATCTTGATGGTGAGAACCATTGTTCTCTTTCATTCCGGCGTAGCCTAACACTGGTCAGTCGACGCGATACGCGCATATAGTATACCTCCCGAGCAGGAGGACTACATCATCACCGAGTCTGCGGATGCAATGGACATAGACATCGACCCAGCACTACTAGGAGATCAACCACCGCCGAAGACTAAGAGCAACGCGCGACTGTTTCCGCCTCCGCTCTTCACTCGTCAGGGTATCACGCAAAACTACGGGTATGTGATCTCATCTCGCAGTACCTTGCAAGGTATCGAACGAATTGTTTGTGCAGGTTCAAGGCGAACCCTATGTCCGTACCGACGACTGTAGTGGACGAGGAGACAGGTGAAGAAAAGAAGCGCTTGATCAATAAGATGCGCTGGAAAGGTTATGGACCTGCCACGGTCATGTATGGCGATGCGGAGGTCGCGACGAAGCCTCCGGCTCATGTCGAAGAGGTCAGAGGGCAGCACGACCAGAACTTGCTCAAGCGACTAGAAGAGGTGGGGTCCGGTATTCTTCGCTGGTGTTGCACTGACTGGGTTTCTAGCTTTTCGCTCAACGACCAGTTTGGACGAGGACTGCGCTGTTCAACCAGTTCACTGCCGCCGAGGCCAGAGACATCCATAAGTGAGATATAGCCATGCTTTGAGTTCTGCATGCTCACTCGAGTAGTTCAAAGGTACTCTTGCCGCTATCCTGCTATGTCTTCCAAGACGGCCCGTGGCGCGACACCCTACTGCGTTTCGGCTATGACCCAAGAAAGAGCCCCGAGGCCAGATTGTGCGCCACTTCATATTAGCATAACCTTCTCCGCTGACGCTTTCATAGCTATCAGCGCCTATACTTCCGCAACCTAAACCACCCCATCGAGCGCGCCTCCATCGTCTCCCGCCGCCAAGAATCCCGCTACTCCGTCGCCTCCCAAAACCGCGACGCCCACGCATTATCAACAACCAACGACGAGCGCAAGTCGCACCTCTTCGACGGCGTCACCGTGACATCCGAAACGGCCGCCTTCCAACTGTGCGATATCACGGACCCGATGCTCAAGGGCATGATCGAGGACGAAAGTGATCTGCGCGATACGTGCAACGAGCGCGACGGGTGGTACTCGACGGGCAATCTGGAGCGCATTAAGGCTGTGCTGAGGCATAAGTTCTTCAGTCTGTTGGAGGGGTATGTTGCGACGGATGAGGAGTGCGAGAGGGTGTTGCAGCAGATGTCGGAGGTTAAGAGTTATTCGCAGACGCAGTCGCGGAAGCCGAAGCCGGGGAAACATAATATGGCGAAGGGCGCGCTTGCACCGGAGGATGTGGCCGTACGCCGATCTCTCGTTCATGTCAGGGTGTGAAGCTGACTTTCTTCGATACAGGCTATGCGTCTGCGCGCGAGACTAGACCAGAACGTCAAGAACCTCTCGAAGCAGCCTCGATGATCTTGTATATGTACCAGACACTTAACCACCGACCTTGCATCGCATGTAATAGTACGAGATCACACAGTATTCCGAGTTTTTGAAGGCTTTTCTTTTGGGGTGGCCTAGACATAAGGGCATAGGCGGGGCATGGATGGTACAGAGCGTGGTGATGGCACAAAACTCGACAAGAACACTCCCAACGCGACGAACAGAGCAAATCAGCACACATCATGCTGCTGCAGCATTTTGCTCGATGCGTGCCTTGCGCTGTGGTCTATGTCAGTATTGAGATATGGTAGGGAGTGAGTATATCACGCACCGAGCCGACGAGCGCAAAGCGCTGGTTGCGGCGGAACTGCAGATACGATCAATATTTCCCTTTCATTTCTCCATCCGTAAACCAAGCATACCTTCGCATCGACCTAATCCCCAATCAGCACAAATTCTCAACTGGACAGAAGAATAAGGACGTACACCCTTGAGCGAGCGCGTCCTCTGGCTCTTCGGCTTCTTGATACCGTTACGGTGAGCCTTCTTGTTCTGGTTGTGGTTGGTATGGCTGTTTTTATCGGTAAGTCAGTCGTTTGGTCTATGGTAAGGAAGGGCATGGGGACGCACTTCTTGGATTTGGCCATTGTGTCGGACGGCGCGCGGGCTAGGGGAAACGGTGAGCTCGCGCGTGCGTAGTCGAAGCGCGTCGGCGCGGATGGCGCGGCAAGTTCCTTGACCCTAGGCTAGGGTCTGAGACTAGCACGTGCGTGGTTCCCAGGGCTTCTCAGTGGCTCCCGGCTGCCATTGTTCTTGTGAGGTAGTGCCTGCGTATCGAGATCTCGCGCCAGAATTCTGCGTACCTTCTTGAGCTCATTCATGGCGTGAAGCAAAGAAGCGCGTTGTGAAATGTTAGGACTTCTCCTGACGCAGGCTCTGGTCGCAGTACGCGAGCTTACCTCATTCATTGTCCTTATAGGCGGTTGTGATATCGATTTTGTCTATTCATTTTCGATTTCCGTACTGCAAAGCACACGTGCGTATCTCGAGGTCCTAATCCTGCTGGTAGAGGATCACGTCCTTCTATGTCAAGCCGGGAATATGCCGAGTCCGACCTTCAATTGGCGCCCTTTCCCTCTACCTTTGGAGTATTACTGACCTGTTTCTCGCACATATGTGTCCGGTTCTCTTTGCTCAGGTGCAAATGGTAAACCTGTCCGCCAATGAACGAACCGTATCAAACTTCACTACTCTCCATTCACACTCAAACCGAACTCGACCCTTCACAGACTGCGTAGCTTGACCTCTGCCCGCTGATTCAAGGCAGGACTACTGTCTTTACTCCTTTATCGCCTATCGCAGCGCTCGCTTGGGTCTACACACGCCGTCCGATTAGACACGCTCGATGTCCTGCGGTCTGATAGGTAAACGTACGGAACGTACGGCCGCCGCCACCGGGCGAGAAGGCCCGTCCACTGAACGCTTCGCAGGCTGATAACGCTTGCCGCACTGAATGCCGAAGCGCGACCAATAGCCGAGGGCATTCAAAGACTCGTGGGTGCGGGTGTATCGCCGAGCCACCATAGACAATGCGCCTGTAAGGATCTCGTGGTAGCATACTATTAGTATTACTTGCGAACGCAAGTCTGTCAGACTGCTATCGGCGATGTTGTCCGTTCGGCTCTATGCCGATGTAAACTTAGCACTACAGCTGTCACCCAAGTACAACATGCATCGTGTATCTTACGACTTGACGTAGCTGTGGCAACCTTGTTCACAAGCGTGCGCATAAGAATATCTTCGGTCGAGGAGTCGCCGATGTGGCTTCTCCGAAACGAGTCCGATGTGGGGAGCTCTCAGCGCCCAGCTGGCCAAATACAGCACCACGGGCGGTGCGATATCAAGCTCTACAGCACGCCAACTATGTCATGAGGACACTCCTATCAGCCGTCGGCTGTATTTAGCAATGATACGCGCCAGCCAGGAGACCTCGGTGAACACGGCAACTCAAGTGATGGCCTCGCAAAGGCGTCGACAAAGCCGAAAGACCGAACGCCAATGCGCGAGCCCGAATTCCGACATGTCCGAGAGCCACACGCACTTATTTCCCGGATCTTGGTTTCATGAAGCCAGCAGTACTGCTCCCTCTCTCCTACCACCACCTTTACGCCCGAGTCAGTCATGCCAGCTCCCGTGCCCAAACCGCGCACCCTCTATGACAAGATCTGGGACGATCACGTCGTGTAAGTGGCTGCAATCACGCTTTGACATCGTCGCACGCGACTGACACCGTTACAGCGACCAGCAAGAAGACGGCCTCGCACTCCTTTACATCGACAGGTGTGCATTGGTTGTACCGTCTGTGGCGACTCGTACTGACCCATACTAGGCATCTGGTCCATGAAGTGACCAGCCCACAGGCCTTCGAGGGCTTGTGCGTACTGTCTCGAACTACGTCACACGCTCCCTGATCCTGACCTTCTATTAGGCGCGCCGCCGGTCGCCCAGTTCGTCGCACGGACTGCACTCTCGCAACTGTCGACCACAATATTCCGTATGTCATGATATCTGGCGCAGAGTCTCGCGCATGACTGATCAACGTCCATACAGCACCGTTATCCGCAAGAACTTCTCCTCAGTCAGCACTTTCATCGAAGAGCCCGATTCGCGAGCGCAATGTGTCGCTCTGGAGGAGAACGTGAAGGAGTTTGGCGTTACCTACTTTGGCATGTCCGACCGCCGCCAGGGTAGGGCTTGATCCTCCCTTTCAGCTGTCTATCTCCTCACTTCGGATCTTAGGCATCGTGCACATTATTGGGCCCGAACAGGGCTTCACCCTGCCTGGTATCACCTGTGTCTGCGGTGACTCACATACATCCAGTACGCTCATTTACTTACTCGACCTACTAGCGTAGTCTGACGCCATCCTACTAGCCCATGGCGCCTTTGGCTCTCTTGCATTCGGTATCGGCACATCCGAGGTCGAGCACGTCCTCGCGACGCAGACCCTTCTCCAAAAGAAGGCGAAGAACATGCGTATCACCGTCGAAGGCACTCTTCCCGAAGGCGTGACTTCCAAGGACGTGATCCTGCACATCATTGGCGTTATCGGTACGGCCGGCGGTACGGGCGCAGTCATCGAGTACGCGGGCTCGGTGTTCCGCGGATTCAGTATGGAGGCGCGTATGAGCGTCTGCAATATGAGTATCGAGGCTGGTGCTCGTGCCGGTATGGTTGCGCCGGACGAGGTCACGTTTGAGTACCTCAAGAACCGCCCTCTGGCACCTAAGGGCGAGGCATGGGACCGTGCGGTTTCGTACTGGAAGTCGCTCAAGACTGACGAGGGCGCCAAGTTTGACATCGAGGTCAACATCCGCGCCGAGGACATCATCCCGACCGTGACCTGGGGTACTTCTCCCCAGGACGTCGCACCCATTACCGGTGTTGTGCCCAACCCAGCGGAGTTCGAGGACCCAGTCAAGCGCTCTTCCATCGAGCGCTCGCTCAAGTACATGGGCCTCACTCCCGGAACCAAGCTCGAGGACGTTACAATCGACAAGGTCTTTATCGGCTCGTGCACAAATAGTCGTATTGAGGACTTGCGTTCTGCCGCCAGGATTGTTCTCGCCGCTGGCCCTGACGCCAAGGTTGCACCGAACGTATACGCCATGATCGTCCCCGGATCCGGTGTCATCAAGCAACACGCCGAGGCCGAGGGTCTGGACGTCGTCTTCAAGCGGGCCGGCTTCGACTGGCGCGAGGCGGGTTGCTCGATGTGCTTGGGCATGAACCCTGACCAGCTTTCGCCCGGCGAACGCTGCGCCAGCACGAGCAATCGTAACTTCGAGGGCCGCCAGGGCTCCGGTGGACGCACACATCTCGTCAGCCCCGCCATGGCTGCCGCTGCCGCCATTACCGGCAAGCTCACGGACGTCCGGAAGTACCTGGGTGTTGACACGACCAAGGTTCCCAGCCTGAAGGTGCTCAAGGAGGCCGAGTTCCTCACCGACCCCGTCGAGGCCTCTCCGGATCCTATCGCAGTCGCAGCGGAGGACGTCAAGAACCTCCCGGATGCCGAGACCCCTGCACCGACGGAGAAGTTCATCGTCGTCAAGGGTATCGCCGCGCCTCTGAACATCGAGAATGTCGACACGGACATGATCATCCCCAAACAGTTCTTGAAGACGCTTAAGCGCACCGGTCTCGCCAACGCTCTGTTCTACACGCTCCGCAAGGACCCGCATACGGGCGAGGCGACCGACTTCATCCTCAACCGCGCGCCCTATGATAAGGCGAAGATCCTCGTGGTCACCGGCAAGAACTTCGGCTGTGGTAGCTCGCGCGAGCACGCACCGTGGAGTTTGTAAGTGTCTTCGCTAGCTTCGTTTCTCTTCGATGTCTGACAGTTGTCTGCAGGAAGGACTTCGGTATCCGCACGATCATCGCGCCCAGCTTCGCCGACATCTTCCGCAACAACTCGATGCAGAACGGCATGCTCCCCGTCGCTCTGTCCGAGGAAGAATGCCGCGCCTTGGCCGAGGACGCCGCAGCCGGTCTCGAGCTCGAAGTCGACCTGGAGAAGGAAGAAGTCCGCAGGCCGAACGGCAAGCCGCCCATTCCTTTCAAGATCGACGCCTTCCGCCGCCACTGCCTGCTCAACGGTCTCGATGATATCGCGCTGACGCTGCAGAAGGAGAGCTTGATCTCGGAGTTCGAGGCCCGTCGGAGTGAGCGCTGGAGCTGGTTAGATGGGTTTGGGTATAAGGGCAAGAAGATCCCGGTGTCGCCCAAAAAGACGGGGAAGAAGATGGAGTGGTAGGTGATATGGTAGAGGGCTTTGACGGGAATGTAATGTTGCATATGTACTATACAGTATCGCACGAATCTTAGCATGCTTGGATAGGCACAAGCTTTCTCACATCGTCGCGCGTGTAATGGTCAGTTGTCGTGCAATCTGTTGATGACCGCAGAGTGCTGGGCCAATCGACGCTCTCGCATGACGGTACCGTGTACGAACTGATGCAACAACATGTACAGATTAGAATGCCGTGTACGAATGCAAGTACGTGACAGTAGCGCGACAGAATATACAACAATGGGTGTCCACGAATCCGAAACTCGATGTATCTACAGTACGAGTACATAACCAAAGCATTGAGGTATGCACAGAAGGGCGAAAGCAATCGTGAACTCTCCAGGAGAACGTAGTAGCGAGTAGTAGTGAATCATGAAAGTCGTGAAGGTCATCATAACGGTCCATTCGAAACGGGGGCCTCTGGTTGCGGCACACTGTTCCCCAGCACCTGCGCGAGCAACATCTGCACGCGCTCCCTGTCCTGATCCAGTTTTAACATCTCTGCTTTCCACCGAGCTTCGCGCTCCTCGTACATCCTCCCCAGGGTCGAGAGGCTCCCAAGCGCGGTGTCGAGAGCGCGGCGTAGACCCTCTTCAGATTCCGGCTGAGCAAGTCGGTCGACGAGGGCAGCCACTTGAGAACGTTCACCTGCGCGCTGCGTCGCCACCGTCTCGAACAATTGTCGCATATCACCCATGCCGGCGGATTGTAGCATGATCGGCGAGCGTCGGATGGCGCGCGATGCGACGAGGCGTAAAGCGGTAGCGTCGGGTGGTGCGGCGAGTAGCAGCATTGTCGTATCGGTCTCGCGATCGAGTGCGCTGAACTGTACACGTAGATAACATCAGTACTGGATGCACAGGATGAAGGGATGAGTGGCTTACAGCACGAAGCAGAGCGTCCCACCGCCCATCAATGCGCTTCTGACGCTTCTCCGGATTCGCAACGTACTCAGGATGGAACTCGAGATCAAGCAAGTCATCTCCATCCATATCCGGCTCTTCATCCACCCATGGCCAACGGGGCGCGTCGTCAGCGCCAGGCGCATCCTCCGGCGCCATCCACGTGCTAGAACCCGATAGGAACCCATCACCGTCACCATCGACACTGTAGCGGTCGGGGCCGGCCGTCTCCTCTCCCGAGCTCAACTCTGGGCTTGTCTCGCGCGGCTGTGTGCTCTCGACGCGAGGCGGAGGGTTCGGATGAGGACGAGCGTTCTCACGGAGTCTGTGCTTGTGGCCTGGACGTGCGCGCGTAGCAGCCGGGAAAGTCGGTAACGGGAGCGGCTCGTGGCTTGGTGACGAGCGCATACTCATGGCCGCCGTACTAGGACGCGGCGGTGCATAGGCACGGCTGGTCTGAAGGTACAGCCACGGGTTGTACGCGGGTCCGGGGAACGGCGTACTCCGCGGCGAGAGCGTACTCTCGCTCGGTGCAGGCGCTGCCGCAGTGTTCAACGCATACGCCTGCATCTGCCGCGCGAGCTGCTCGCGAATGACTCCAGGATCGTACGCTCGTCCCATATCAGACTGGCTGGGAGGTGCGGGAGGTTGATGCGCAACCTGCCCTCGTCGAATGTGTCCGAATGGGAATGGGTACGGTGAGCCGACGGGGCCGGGGACAGGACTGTACGGGGGTAGAATGACGCTTCCGGACAGAGCGGGCGACGGGGACGGCAAGTGCGACGGGAATGTAGGAGCTGCAGGATAACGGAGAGGCTGCGGGATGGCGGGTTGCATCTGCGGTGTTGGCGGTAGGGGGTATGGTGGGCGCATCATGCTTTGGTAGTATGCCGCCATTGGGTCGTAGTAGCTAGCGCGCTCGTCGTACTGCGAGATGGATGGCGTGGGCGCTTGGTAGTGCGGAGCGTATGCGGGATGCATCTGTGGTGGACCGTGCATGTAAGGCTGGGCATGTATAGGCTCAGTAGATGGCGCATTGCGAGCAGGAGCCTTGTGCCGGTTATTGTGCGTGCCGTTGACTGCATGCCCGTTTGTATGCGCGCCATTCGTGGTCCCACCTGTATGAGCGATCGGGGCGGTATGAGTATGAGTACCGTTCACTCCGTTCATCTTGTGTGCTCCATTGCCGTTGACATGTGGGTGATGAGGTTGCGTAGGAGCATGAGGCGCAAGAGGTTGAGATACGACCGTTGGTGTCAGTTTCGGCGGCGATGGTGTCGTCTCGATGAGCGTGATCGGCGAAGATCGAGGTGTACCGCTTTGCTGAGAGTCGAAGGACGAGGAGGATTCGATGGCGTCCGGCGATGGTACGGAAACTGGCGGCGGTGGCGGTGGCGGTGGCGGTGGAGGCGCGGGTGCCTGCGTTGGTGCTTCGTGCGAGCGAGCTTGAGGTTGTTGTGAGCGCTGGTGGTGATGATGCGATGCGGGCGCGTCTGGGTCCACGGCGGTCATGAGATTCTGCTGACGACGCAAGACTTGAGGCAATACGGGTGCAGGAGAGAATACGCCGCGCACGTCGCGGTCTGTCTCGACAGAGTCGGTTGTCTGACTCGGCGAGCTCTCTTCGTCGTCGTCATCCTCTTGTAGCGGAAGTGACTTGTCCGGCGTGCGTATAGGGCCGCCTGTATGCGGGGGTTGCTGTGATGTGCGCGCTAGGACGGGCGGCGTTTGGCGGTGACCTGATTGTGGAGACCCGCCGGCTCGTGTCGGACCTGAACCATCGAGACCGAAATAAGTGTCCGGTGGCTTGGGGAACGCAGGCAGGAGCGAGGGTGTGCTGAGAGGGGTGTAGTAATACGGGGAATCCGCACGGGTAATAGAATGAAGGTCTGCAAAAGAACGATGGCCCGTTCCACTGCCATAGACCGCAGCTGAACGCGGTGGCTCTTTACGATCTACTTGGGGAGCGCGGTCGTCTTGTCGAGGTGGCTCGTATCGCGCCGTAGTTGGACTGGCGCCGGGAAGAGCGCCGTAGAACCCCAAATGGCTAGTAGACGCGCCGCCAGCGTACGCAACACCTGCCGCGCCGTTGACGCCCAGATCGTGGGCGTAGTTGATCTCTGCCATGAGTTCGTCCGTCACTTCGAAATCCATCGATGCTCTCAACTGCGGCGTTGACTGGCGGATAGGCATCCGCGGGAAGGTAACGGCCGGCGGTTCACTTCCGGTATGGCCATGTCTTGGGAGGTTGCTATGGCCGTTGAGACGGGGAGATGGTGTGCGACTGGGAGTGCCTTGTCGCAACGGTGAATCGAGCGAAGATCGTTGGCGATACTCTGAGTGAGGAGAACCACGGGCAGTCTCAAACGATCCAGCGTTCGACTGTTCTGTAAGAGATCGCTGAGAGGATACAGAGCCCTGACGAGGCTTCAGGCCGCGAAGAGAGCCGCGGATGGATGAGGCCGGTGAATGGTCATTGCTACCGGGGGAACCTGACGAAAGATCGATGACTGGAGGTTCTTCGTCGAATCATGACCGACCTGCCCACCTTGTCGGAGCTTCTGGCTAAGCGGATACGAAGTAGCCATATAGATTACAAGGGGGTGAGAGTCGAAAGAGTAGACGCATTGGAGCTGCCGCCCGTAAGGTAATAAAGGTTGCGACCTGCTGGCCTCAACGAGGAGAACACGCTGCAAAGACGGCACGCTGCAAACATGTCACGCTGTGCCGGAAGTGCATGTAAAGGGCACGTTGCAAGTGATGCCACCGCGATGACCGAATGGCGAGTGAGAGCAGCGCGCGGCGGTCACACGGGTGACGGCTTCGGAGAACAATGGTTTATTCGGGGCAGTACTCGGCGTAAAGTTCAGCATGCTTAACGAGACTTGGGGGCTGGGTATGCGGAAACAGAACCGCATCCCTGCCATGGACGAGATATGTCCTCGCAAAGTCAAGTAAATCTAAGGAGGTAGGATGAGGGCGGACGTAGAACGCGTTGAATTTGACGATGTTCGAGGCAGAAGTGAAGGGCCGAGGTCAACATGGGTATACGCAGGGATGCGTGAATGACCTTGGATGGTTATAGCTCTCAACAGCCTCAACGGGTACCTCGCATGACTGTCGCGCATGGGATATCAATTGTCTGAGGCTCTCATGGCCTCATGCTCCCGACATTTCTGGCCCGCAAAGAACCTTGCAACGCCTTGAAGTCATGGCGGCGGCGCCCGACAGACGATAGTCTATCACGACGTGGCGCATCGTTGTCCTAGACCGTACCAGCTGGAAGGTGGACCTAGACGCTACATTACACGTGTATCTTTCTTCCGGTTTCACTCATCACACCATACGGAGATATGCGAAACAGTCAAATGTCGACCGATGGGTATTCGATAGGGTACAAGTACAGACTGCAGCAATGACATACAGCGACTAACATACGATGGATCTTGCAAGAAGAGCAGTGCGACAAGAAAGCCCAGACGGGAAAGTACATCCGAACGGGCGAAGTCCCAGATCCCAATCATCAGCGCCTGGAAGGGGCTGTGTGCACTCGAGAACGACCGACGCGGCCGCCTTCAGGGGCAGACCTACGGCCAATAGTCTCGAGTCGCGGGCGTAGAGCGCAGCCTACTGCGTATCGATGTGTATGATCTGTGACGGGAGGTGGTCAGCCACTGAGGGAAGCAGTTCACAAGGCGAATAAGCTTACCGATACGCAGGGCGGCGGGACCACGGTCCGCTAGGCGCCTACTGAGAGGGCCTGCGGGCGGTGGTTGACGGAGCGCGCGAGCTCCGCCAAGTTGACGCAGGAGGCCATGCGCGCCTCCATGTGCTCGCTGTAGAGGTCGAGCAGCTGGGTGCACGTCTGTGGCGACGCAACGCGCTGAGCGCGCCTCCTGCGGCGCACAAGGGCGCTGGCAGGTGCAGCTGCGTCGAGCTTCGCGTTGAGGTTGATGTTGAGGTTGAATGTTTGCTTGCGCTGCAACCAGCGCGAGTTGCGCTTGGTGAGCGGCGGCGGCGATGCTGGCTCCGTCTTGACACCTGACGGGCCGGCTGCGATGGCGCGGCGGGAGGAGAACGAGTCCCGTCCTTGCACGGTGAGATCGAGCTCAAGCGATGCGCGGGTGTGGTGGACCCAGACGGCGCCTTGCTGGTAGAAGGCGAGGAGCTGGTCGACGAGCGAGAGTGACTCGTTGACAGGCGCGAGCTCAAGAGACTGAGCAGACGAAGACTGCAGGGCAGAGGGGTCGTCCATGCCGGGCTCAAGCTTGACATCAACAGACATTGAGTTGTCGGAGTAGTAGTTCGAGTTCATTGTTGTCGGTGATATGTGCGACGATGAGGAGACGATACGAACAATGGGGCGTACGGGGGCGCGGGGGAATGGAATTGGCTGAGCGCCCTTCTGAGCGGCGGTTTATAACTTCTCAGCGCACGGGAGGACTGGTCGAGACCATGGCTGGGCCCCATTGGCTCAGAGCAGATCACGGAGACATCTCACACAGCCAAAAACGGTGCTCTTCGCTCCCAACTGAGCCGAAAAAGAGCCAGAGACGATCCCTATCGTACCTACCGAGACATTCACAAACAAAAGGACCTTCAGAGGGCAAGAATCGACGGCGGGGCGGCTGGAGAGCATCGTAGACAATGGAAAGGAGCTTACACACGCAACTGCCTCGATGCGCTCTGGGACCCACTAATCTGATGGGCGAATGGGCGAGACATGGTCTGCGGAGGCACCTGAGCATGGCCGGGTAAACCGTCATTCAGGGCCAGTGAACTCGCGACGGCAACAACCGTCCGGTGCCCTCCGATCGCAGCAAGCCCGAGACGAATGAGTGGCCTTCCGACCAGTGCCGGAGCGCGAAGCCAATGCGCGAAAGTCCCGAGAAAAAGCGGCTGAAAGCGACGGCGCCCGCATCGAGTTCATACACAAGCGCGCGAGCGGCGCGCAGGGCTGAGACATTCGCCCACATTCGTCTTGCCCCCCAACGTTCAGCGCGGTCAGGCGTAGTGTACGGCCGTCGACATGCCTGTAAGCCTGTGTTAGCACGCAAGTCCTGCAATATCTTGACCGGAATCTCGAGTCTGCGCGATAACAAGGGCTTCTGCGGGCGTAATATGTAATACCCACGCCGCATGGCAGCGGCGAACTCTGAGATGCAGACGGAGCGCCCTGTTCTGCAGCGCGCTGCGCGACGAGTATTAATAACGGGCGTACCGAGGCTTCCCATGCGAAGTTTGCTTTTCCCCCCGTCATCGCTCTCGGTGTCGACAACAGCAGAGGAGGCGGCGGGCCGCGAGGTGATCTGCCCCGTGTCTTTTGTCTGGGAGAAGGCAGCTCATAGAATATTTCCAGCAGTCCGCTCGATATGATTTACGGCGCGAAAGGAGTGCAGCGGAGCCAGGATTCTTCGTACTCGGAATGAACATTACAGTACGGTACAGAACAATGAACATGCTGTGGTTGATTGGTCATTCAGCGCACGTGAGCGCGTTTTCTGCTCACCGCGTCCAGTCGCGTCCAGGACGCGTTTTGCATCGACGACTTGACTCGCTCCTTCCTCTTCAGCCTTCTAGGTCGAGTTCTTGTCACTGACCGACCAGCCGAATTTCTTCCTCTTCTCTCGCGAGCTTGTATTGTCTACTTGTGCTGTTCGCTTCTCGTCCTGCCCGTCCCTTGTACGGGTTTTTCTGCGGTCACAGCTCACGGCGATATACCATACATGTCCGTGCCTCAGACCACCGCGCAAGCGCTTGCGCAGTGCTTTCGCGAGCTGGCTACTCGGCAATCCGGTCAAAACGCTCGGGAAGATAGTGAGGATCACACTATATGTTATCCCCCCTGAATCTGACCGACTTCGCGCACAGCCTACAATGCGGCGAATTTTATGGTGATACAGCTGTCTCTCAGTGAACATGTCAGCTCGCTTACCGCTCTTTTTCAGCTAGTGGATGCGCTCCATACAACAAACCGTCTCGGGATGCCTGCTTACTCTGACGCTAAGATCTCGCTCGTCATGTGGCAGTTGATGGAGATCGCGTCGCGAGACGTAGCGCACGGAGACGCCCACCGCAAGCTAGAGGTGTGTCTGACGGCTTGCCCCTCCGCTCGTGTGCTAATCGCAATGTCCAGCGACTCTTCTCCCCTTGTCAAGAACTCGATGAGTGTCTGGGCGACATCATCGCGCAAACACCGCGCTTGCGTGGTATCTTCGCCGAGATCCCGACGGTCGACGACGCAAAACTATGTAAGGGACAATTCTCGAGTTGGAGGGGGATCTTCTGACATATCCTATACAGTTACCGCTGATTACAAGCTGGAAAGACGTCCGCGGCAACGGCCGCAATCTCAAACGACGGCACTCGAGCCGGCACCCCGAAACGCCAGGACTCGTGAACCCCTGGTGGATGACAAGATGGACATCGTCGCAGAGTTATGCAGATATATGCAGACCTTCGTCGCACTGCTTGGGAAGATCGTACGACATGAAGCACGTTTAAGACGTGTTTGCGAGCGCATGAATCTCTACATGTCAAACAACGAGCTTTACGAAGGCAAGGGGACGTTGAGTGCCGGCGGCATATTGACTATGCTCTACTTACTCCGTGTACGTGCGTGCATATATCTGGATTACTTCGGTCTAACATTCTCGTAGGCATCTCTCGTTCACGGCGTGCGCGAAGGTATCCTCTCGGATGACCTTGTTCTACGTATGCTCTCCCATTTCATCGTATGGATCGCGATGATACCCGAGTCCGGCGAGATTGGTCTCCACGGCATCTATGTGATGCACTTGATATGGAATGTCCTCAGGCCCGCGATTCCCTTCGAGTCGATGTCCGACGCGCAGAGAGTCCTGTTTCGCATAGTGAGAAAGCGGTGCATGGCTTTGATGATCCCGATTGTGGATGCCATCGGCACGTATTCGGACAAGATGGTAGTGTTCTCGAACGACTATTGCCACCTATATCAAGACATACTGATATCTCCTCTGTTTCAAGACTTTACCGCCAGGTGACAACGGGACCGCGAACACGCCGGACGCCTACGCCGCGCACTATGTCCGCAGCCTTGCGGCGGCGATGGATGGTTTCTGTCAAAATCGAGACTGTACCTGTGTCAACGCCAAAATCACCACCCAACCGGGCTCTTTGCCTTCCAGGGCATATCGTTTTGGACAGGATCCCTCGTCATTAGGCGAGGCAACCTGGGTCTTTCACCGCTTTCGGCGCTGTGTTGGGCCTGCAGCTCTTCTGAACACCATATTGGCGGGGGATCTCTCGGACTGCCGAAGTAAAGTCATGCGCACGACATGGGTGAGCGTTTCGAGAAGTATGTACAAGAAAACTTCGATTGACCTTCTTCTAGGCCATCATGAGCCCTCAGGCGATGGCACTGGATATTTTTTCGACCGGGGTCAAGAAACGCGAGTGTGGGTATGATAGCGGCAAGACAGGCGGGTTCATTATGAGTGCAGAGGAACTCGCATGCTCCTCCACACGAAAGCTTGTGTCAAACTATATCCTTTTACCGAAACGCGACGACCTCAGAACATTCCTACGGTGAGCCTTTTTCGCGTGTTCGAGTTCCTCGACCTGATACTTGTCTAGGGCTGCGTTTCGTGGACCACGACCCGAAGTCGCGTGCGCGTACGATAGGTGTATCACAGCAGAACAAAACGTCGTACGTACCTCCCTCTCCGAGAACCATGAACGATGTTTAAAGCAAGTGTCGCAGTTTCTTTCGGGATACAGATCCTTCTGGAAAGACAGAATCGCGCCGCCCAGCCCACCGGTACAGAAGTGGTCATCGACGTCGAAATATTGGTACTCCCACCTTACCCAAAAGGACCCCGGCGGCGGCACGGATTGGTGTAATGTACCAGGCGACGCCGACAAGGATCCTCTTGGCGTACAGCTCGTCGAAGCATTGCTCGACTCGGACGTGTCGTTTAGTCCCCTGTCATCGCCAGCACCGGCCACACCATCACCTACGTACGACGTGATGAAGTCTCGCCGTACCCTTTCCCCGCATTTCCAACAGAGTGTTTTCGAGGCTTTTCAAAAAGACGAACAGGCTACCGCGTCGTCCTCGTCCGCGTCGGCATCGACGTTCCAAATAGGTGGCCCAGTTCGTCGTCGTGTGATTGCCCTCCCTCCCAGCTGGCCGTCACCCTTGTAGTCACTAGAAGATTGACAGCACACTAGTCTACATGTCATAGACGTACATATTGCATCTAGCGTGTTCAGGAACAATGTCATCGTGAAGAGTCGTATGTACGGACGATACAGCAAGATACAGCAAGATACAGCAAGGTGCACAGCTACACGGATTGGAGCGAGGGGATGGATGGACGAACAGTTGTCACAAAACGGGAGAGCATTATACAGTACGTGACGAAGCAGTGACAAACGAGGGCACAAGATACACAGAGCAAGATACAATGGGCGTGAATGTGACGGAAATGCAGTTCAAGAGGCATGTGTGGAAGAATGGTGCTAGAGTTGCTCAATTGCGGTTGGCGGCTGCTTGATATCCCCGCCGTTGGTTAAGACCTGTATGCACGTGTTAATCGAGCTATGCGTGCACGACAGAGTGTGAAGCAATACCTTTTGGATGAGCGTGACTTTTTCTGCAACTTTCCATAATTCCCTGGCAATGTCGTTGGCGATAACGTCTTCGGCGTACATAGCTTGAATTCTAGTTTCAAGCTTCTCCCTGTAGGACCGAACGAAGGCCATGTCATCCTCCTCAGCCTTGATCGCTTGAGTGGCTATCGGCATATGTCAATGATGGGCATGCAGCGATGAGCGGAAGATGTACGAACCCGCAGCAATAGCAAGCAGAGTACTCTGACGTAGGCGTTGCTTGACACCATCAAAGTCTACGCGTGGAAGGCCCGTAGTCGGTGCCAAGATGGGTGTGCTCGAAGACTCGAGATCTCTAGTGGCAGGCAAATCCCGGAGCCGGCGCGCGAGCCGCTCATTCTCCTCAGTCAGCCGGCGAATGGTAAGCTCATAGGACTGCAAGTTTGCGGGAAGGGACGAGAAGGCCGGCGATAGAGTGTTATTGCTTTGTATAACAGGAGAGGGCCGTGGTCGCGATGACGTCAAAGCAGGCGATGTCGGGTCTGCACGAGCCCGGGTAACGACAGTTGTTGCGGGCGAAGAAGAGGAAGCTGATTGGAAAGCACGTTGAGGGGAACTAGACTTCGAAAGGGATACTGGTGGCGAAGAAGACGGAAGGTACCCTGGCGAGGATTGTCGAGAGGGAGGTTCTGTAACACCATCAGGGGCGGGTGTCGAAGATCGCGATAGCGCCCACGGCGGTGTGGGCGTGTCCGAAAAGGGCGAGGCATTGGTCAAGTATCGTGGAGCGGGTGTCGGTGTGTGCACAATTACAGAAGGAGTGGATGCATTGACTTCTGGCAGTGTAGATTCAGACGGCGTCCCATTCTGTTTGGCCTTAGAAGGAATAGGTGGTGCCGAGATGATTACAATGTCGCTATCACCAGACTCGTACCCAGAAGTCGCAGTTTCGGTTGTAGGCGGATCCGGTGACATCGTATGCGAAGGTAGAGAGCGCGAAGCAGGCAAGGGACGTGTTGATCTGGATACTGGGCGTGGCTTTGGTCTTGGCTTTGGCTTGACTGTAGCCATCTGGACCGGAGTGGTCGTTGTGAGAGGGCCGGCTGAACGCTTTTGCCAAGTGCTCATCTCAACATCCGGAGTAGGCGTGTCCCGCTTGCGCTTTTCGGTGCGAGCAATGGAAGCAGGCGTAGGTGCCGATGTTGGGGCTATCAAGTCTTCGATTTGTTGTCTTGCAGCGTTTGATCCAGTAGATCCCATAGGGAAAGAGGTAGACTGGGGATTGGCAGGGCCAGTAACATACGAGCGTGCCTCAGGTTTGACAGCCACAACACCGATCGAGAGCCACCCGCGCTTCAAACCAGTCCCATGCAGTGTCACATTCTTGTACAAAGGATGGCCGGCTATAGATATGTCAGGTTCAGCGCGCCAGCCCTTCAAGTGTTTGACAAAGCAACGCGATGGCTTTCCAATGGAAAAAAAGAGGTCGCCTGCCTGCCCCAGATCAGCAGAGGGAGTGGACGGGACACCGCCAATGGCACCAGAGAAGGTATGATACGTGAACTGTGAAATTTCGCGTAGCATATAAGTATATTGGCCGATGCGGGTAAGGTGCACGCGGAACTAACCGTGAACCATGGTAGCATTCGTGTACCACCGGGGAGCGTATTCCCGAACGTACCCGGCGGGTTATGGGGGTCCTGCCCCATCAGTAGAGCACAGGTCACAGGAGTCCCAACGAGCCCGTCGCAAGTGCGGGACGGCGTGGGCGTAGCGGCACTGGCCCCGAGGGATGATGGCGCGAGAGATGGGTGTGCAGGCGCGATACTGCCCATGGCCTCTTTCCATAGTGCGTGGACATGGGGATGATGGCGGAAAAAGGCAGGGTGCGGGTCGGCATTGCCGCGTTCATGCCAGAACCTCGCCGCCCGCAGTAGATCTCGACTTGCGGACTGTCAGTACCTCCCAGTGTCGACTCTTGTAGAGACGTACATGAGCATGTCCTTCACCGAGATGGTAGCTGAAGCCCGCTGGCCGCTCATACGCACAACATACCAGCCATTTCCCACGTCTTCCTAGCGGAAAATCAGGATTTTTAACTGGATAGCAGACGCATTATCGGCTAACCTTCATGTGGGGAATAGGTTGGAAGTCGGTAATGGTTGTGATGACTCCAGGCCAGTGACCCACAAGGCCGTCTGTCGTCGAAGGCATACGGGGCGCCCTTGACATGCGAGCA